CGGTCAGTCGCCGGCATCGCCGTCGGGGAACTCCCTCTTTGTTCGCCACCGGGCGCGCACGCACTATCCCACGATTCGGCGATGCGGGGTATCGTAGGGCGTGGGCAGTGGGCAGAGATGCGAGGTCATCCGCTGCCAATGCCGTTGACTCCACCGCACCCTCACCTCTGCCAACAACATTTTTCTGCAACTGTTGCACGGTTGGCGGCTGACTGCCAAGGTCTGCTGTGATAGTCTCGAATTGGCTTCATGGCATCCCCCGTGATCTCAGCGACCGGATCAGGTGCAACTAGTGTCAGAACTTTTTAATCTCAACCAGAAATGCTCTCTCCTGGAGGACCACTGGAGCCATCTCACATCGGTGGCTTTGTCTTGTAACAGAGTGCAGCATTGTGACAAAAATTGCACCTCTGAGTTTTTATAAATTGGGTACTTGAAGGGACCAGAACAGTAGTTCTGTGATCTCTCCTTCTGCGGACCGTTCTTTTTTACGCGGGGGTTCCGCGCTGCTCTGCGACTCCCTGAATGGACAAAAAAAATATTTATATTAGAATTGAATTCGAGGAATCAGCGTAATTCGGTCCGTGCGTGGTTGTTGCCGCGTGTGTGTGCGCACCCACGCGACGCAGGAGCGATCCGCAAGCAGCTGTCAGCCTTCCTGGAGGGCTTCTACGAGATCATCCCCAAGCGACTCATCTCCATCTTCACGGAGCAGGAGCTCGAGCTGCTCATCTCCGGGCTGCCCACCATCGACATCGACGACCTCAAAGCGCACACCGAGTACCACAAGTACCAACCCAACTCGCTGCAGGTACCCGTCTTTGTCGCCTTCCCCACCATTACTCGATCATTTGCATCATCGGCCATAATCTGTGGGTGTTGGTCCTCGCCCTCCCCCAAGCCTTCGCCATCACGGTCCTGTGATGTATCAACCCGCATCGCTGATTCTATCACTCCATCGTTCAGAGAAATGCTTTTAAAGTAGGTATTCTTTGGCTGCTATAAATTTTGACGGGATAAGCCACTTCGTTGAGCTGTCGTTTGTGGGCAGGTCTCTTCTGAAACGGAAGCTTAATAGCTCAGTGGGCTTTACCTGGGAGAACAAATAGTATTTTTTTTTGTCATTTGCTTACTTTTCCTATGCTTTGCACTCCTATCGTGTTTTTGTATTGTAACTTTTTGACCTGCCCCCTTACTGGACATCTGGCAACCACTCTATCGTTATTCTCAGCCCACCAGCCGCCATCCCAAGGCCACTGATTTTTTTTTCGTAACGGTCAGAAATGGTGTCTTTAACCTGTTCCAGGACTCGACAGCACCTGTTACATCCATCCCAGTACATCAGGACTTTCCTGAAAATGGAGTCTTCAAACTCAACGTTGCTTTCCCGGATAAACGATTTGACGGTCAATTCCAATCGACGCCTCTCTAACCCCCAACGCCTGTGCCCCACCACCGCCGTCTTGCACGCAGATCCAGTGGTTCTGGCGGGCGCTGCGTTCCTTCGACCAGGCGGAGCGCGCCAAGTTCCTGCAGTTTGTCACGGGAACATCCAAGGTGCCGCTGCAGGGCTTCGTGGCGCTCGAGGGGATGAACGGCGTGCAGAAGTTCCAGATCCACCGCGACGACCGCTCCACCGACCGACTGCCCTCCGCTCACACGTGGTACGTGCGCTCGCCCGGTGGCTGTCCCGATGATGGGAGTTTAAAGTTTCTTTTTCGGGAAAAAAATATAAAACATTAGTAAAAAATGAAATTAAAATTAATTAAAATTAAATAATAAAAATCACGACGTTTCGGATTTTTATTATTTAATTTTTATTAATTTAAATTTCATTTTACCTACGTGACTTTACCGAAAAAACTAAGAGTATGAATCCTTGCAGTCACGAAAGTTTCAAATCTAGAATAAAACATTAGGTCGTGTGTCCATGGCAATCTCGTAAATATTGAGCAATACCCGAAACGGTTCTGGCTTCGCCCCATTTTTACACCACGTAGAATAGATAAATAATATTGTAGCCTATTACAATACCCTTAACGCTATTGTGATTATATGGAGTGGAGTAGTGACGTGGCCGTTAGTTTGCCTGAGGGGCTAATGCTGCACTGCACTAGAAACCCGACTACCTAAGTTCCATTCCTAGCCATGGCTAATATGAGTGGCAAGTATTATCAGAACCTCTAACTTGCCCCCGTTTGACGGTCTAAAGGTCCCCGTTTGACAGTCTATATCTGGCACCTTTATCTAAATCCGTGCTCTCTCCCTGTGTCTCGTGCAGCTTCAACCAGCTGGACCTCCCCGCGTACGAGACGTACGACAAGCTGCGACACATGCTGCTGCTCGCAGTGCAGGAGTGCTCCGAGGGCTTCGGCCTGGCCTAGTCATCACCGGCACCCCCCCACCCCCCCGCCTCTCGTCCTCCCGCTGCGACACGCTCGCTCGCGTGAGCAGGAAGAGGCGGCGAGAGAACTCCTCGCCCGCTCACTCGGCCGTGCGTTTGTAGCCCTCGATCTCGTCCATGCCCCCCCCCCCCAAGTCGCGCCGAGCGGGAGGGTGGTGGTTGGGAAGTGTGCGTATGGAACCCCACCTGACTCAACGCGGGCAGCAGGAAGGGAAGCTGTTGTGTTGCCGACACGATGTGCAGGTGGAAGGAGAGGGATCCGTTTTTTGACGCGAGACGAGGGTTGTGGTGGTTAACCCCCTATTGTGCATGTGTCATCCGTTGTGCTGCATATAAATATATATATAAAAACCCACACGCGCAGGCAGAAGCACATAGCGCTCGCACTCGTGTCACGTTCGCTCTTCACGCAAGCAAAAAAAAAATGGAAGTCGTCCGGCAATTTAAAAAGAAAACTCGAGAAAAAACTAAAAAAACATTTCACTCGCATTTATGTATAAAGTCCCCTCGATAAACCTCGCCGCCATGTTTCCCACGTAAGTTCACATTTGCAAAGCGACTCTAAAAGATGAACAATAGACAAACTATACTATAAAGAGTAAACACTTGTAAATAAGCGACAGGCTTCGTTATAGAGTGTGAGACCGATAAGGGGTGGGGGGGGGGTAAGTTGTCGGGCGATAAGTTGGAAGTTGGGCGGGGGGTGGGGCTGCAGGAGGAGGAGCCTCACGGTCCCCTCGGCACAGCCGCGCGCGGGGATTGTGGCCGGTCGACTCCGTCGTTGGGCACCGGCGCAGTTTTGGCAGTGACGCGGCCGTAGTTTGGCGGTGAGGGTAAGGGACACGCAGCACATGCAGAGCCACGGCCGTGCGTGAAGCGAGGATCGCAGGGGCAGGGCAGGCGGACGTGAGTCTGGAACGTACTTGGTCGGTGTAATTCTCACGTGGAATAGAAATAAAATGGCGGACGGGTCGGCTGGATTATAATCTCAAGGCACCGGCAAACCGCACTGAAACCTGTAAAATAGAATCCCACGGGGGAGAGACGCCACCAGGGAAAAGTGGGGGGGGCGGGCGGGCACGGGTCGAGGAAGAAGGCAACTGTTCCATAATTAAGCGTTTTTTTTTCTTTTCTTTCATTTTGGTATTTATTCACAAATGTTGTTTATGGAAACCTGAACGGGATTGTTGCGTTGTTGTTTTTTGGGAGAGAAACACGTTTAAAAAGTAATAACATTTGCGGTTGGATTCCAGAAGGCTGCTGCGACGTTCGCTGCGGTACGGCCAGATTTTTTGCTGTAGCCAAGCTCCCCCCCCCCCCCACGCGATCAGTCGTTGCCCAAGGCCTCCTCGACGGAGGTTGCGCTGACTTGTCGAGAGTTCATGTATCGCTATTTTGGTTTTATCTTTTCTCTCTTGTTAGGTTTCACTTTTTTCCCAGAATGCAGTTTAAAAAAAAATCTAGAATTCGAGTCATTAAAGAATGAAGATTGAAAAAAAAATGGAACATTTGACTGTTTTGTGCCTTCTTTGTGTTGCGTGGTTTTGCCCCCACCATCCTGCTCTTGTAAAGACAAGGTTTCTGAATTAATGCATTTAAAATTCGCGAGCGTTTTCAAGAACGTAACCCTTGCGATTAGAGAGGGTTTACTGTACTCTTCGGTAAAGTCACGTAGGTAAAAAAATTTACATTTTTATTTCTATTATTATTTTTACCTACGTGACTTTACCAAAAAAAAACTAAGAGTATGAATCCTTGCAGTCACGAAAGCTTCAAATCTAGGGTTTACTCTGTAAAAAAGCGTTTTTTTTAATCCTTTCTGGCAATAATACAGGAGGTAAGATGTTCAAACACCACATTATTACAAGGTATCATCGAGTCTGCATTCACCAGACTTGTGGTAAATTTGGCTTTTAAATCGAGATTTAAAACAAATTTCTTTAGAACGGCTTTTTGTGTTTAATTGTCCTTTCCCCACACCTCCGATTATCAATGTTTGCGTCCGGTGTGCAAGAAGTTCAACATACACGCAAGGACCAGGGTGTTGTGATATTTGACGGTAATTAAAAAGGTGCATCCCTGCAATTGATTGCTCACCCCACGACCGGCAAGATGAGCATCCACTGGATGCAGCACGGAGAGCTCCTCCGAAGGTCATTTGGCCTACTCTTCCACACCAGCCAGACCTCTTGAAATAGGTGGAAGTACCCGGCCAATCACCTGAATTTCAGCAGTAATGTTAATTTGTCCCAAAAAATGTATCTGCTTTTTAATATTTGACCGTTTTTGGTAAGGGTTGTTTTGCGTATGTAAGGCAACTGGAGGACTTGTAGAAAAGCGACGACGCATGAGGGGGATAACGCACAGACGCTGTCACAAACACCATCAGGGTATTGCCACCTCGCGACCACCTTTGAGCCTGGCAGGCTTGGCAGTTTCACAAATCTCGACGTTCCACCGATCCTTGCCACCGACGGGGAGAGGTGGGGGGGGGTACGTACCGCCTCGCACCCGCAAGCTGTGTGGCACTGGATCCCAAGACCCATTGGAAGGACTTTTGCCGACCCAAACAAAGAACTCCGTAAGTCCCAAAAAAGTAACAGCAAGGCAGTTTTATTCGTGCACATTACAGTGTTCTCAAAACAACAGGTCAATGGGTGGCCGTTGCACAGTTTATATCCATTTACCCTTTTATAATGTTAATTATCTTACTGTGCATGGGGTAACCACCACTAATGTACAAAACTTTAAACAAGCGCCAATGCAACCAATTAAAAGTGCAAGTAAATAATGTAACGAGGCAAGGTCGATCTTGAATTGAAGCTTTCTTGACTGCAGGAATCCATCCTCTTTGGGTAATCGATTATTTTTCTACCGACGTGACTTTACCGAAAGAAGCAAGGTCAATCGTTTGGGTTCTAACCTGGCATTGCACAGCGTAGATGGGCCATTGACCATTTGCGGTTCCTCCAAGTTTCAAACATTTTCACACCATATTTGTGGGTCCCCAGAAGACCCAAGGTAGATGCAGGGCAGAGTATATCCACCTACGACATGAACATCCGATCGTCCTGCAGGAGACGACTGAACGGAAATGTTCCGCAAAGCTTGCCGAGTGGGACCATGGCACCTTCGCGGTTGAAGATTTTTGCCACTCTTTGTTCCCCGTGTTCGAGCAAAAAAAAAAATTCACCCGTAAAAACAAAGTTTTTCACTATAAATCCTTTATATGCGTGGCATCGGTTTCATTTTATTATTTATTTCAGTTTTTCTTGAGTAAGCAAGCAAGCGAAGTTAATATAAAGGATTTAAAAATGAAAGATCACCTCTTGACATGCCCCGTATATTCCCGAGGGCACCAGCGTTGACCCGTTTTACCACTTTCAAGAACCTGGCGGCTTCAATTTAACTGCTCTATAAATAGTCTCCACTGTCTAGCTTGGGGGCAGGGATTTCATGCCATGTGGTTAGTCAACATTTGCGTCATCATGAAATAGGTGGCGACAGTCCTCTCGTCCTCTGGCTTGAGATGGCTGCCACCTATGGGTCAGATGATTTTCTGCCACAATTAAGCAATTGGTAATTAAACATTTTGAAACATTTCCCTAAACAGTGTAAAATTTTGAAAAAAAATTTTCATTAAAATTAATTGCCAAGCACAACGAGTCTGTGCAAAATGTCAGCTCGATTGGATCACGGGAAGTGGGTTAAAAAACGACCGAAAGATTTGCACGGTCCGAAGCAAGCAAGCACGCACGTAAACTTAATATAAAGGATTTTAAAAACTGGCATCTCTTCCGGCAGCAAGAATTGATGTGCGTCGACATCTGGTAACGGTTATTGTGTTGAACTATAATACGCATGTAAGGGGTGTTGGGGAGGGGGGTGGTAAGGATTCCTTCCAAAAGGAGGGGGACAGTGGAGCGGGAACAGCGGAAGGGAGAAGAAATAAAGGACGAACCCCCTGCAACCTCGTGTCGGCTCTCCGATACACGCAGTTTTGATAACAATGGACCGAGGTTGACTGAGAAACGCCTGCGTTGGGACTGTGGTGGAAAAGTTGGCAACCCAAGTGATTGCCTCTGTCCCATGAAAATCGTTCAAATGCCAAATGTACTCCCTTCGGTGTATTATCTTTGAGGACACAACGTAAGCACCCTCTGACAGCATTCCTCGTTAACTCCTCCACTTGGTGGTCCATGCAAACACCGGTGCTTTGTGTGAGACTGCCCCTTACAAGCCGAAGTTGTAGGCCTTGAGAACGTCCCGTCCATTGTTAGCCTGCACCACGCCAACCACGCTGCTGCAGTCGCTCACCACGTTCCTGAAGCCCCTGTGGGATGCACGCACACACAGACGCATAAGCACACAGGAATGGGCATGCCAAAAAAACTACAGATCCCCCTTGTAGCCTTAACATATTGTTGGAGCAAGTGCTGAGAGCGAGCATCTACGAAGGGGAGGTGGCCAGCCTGTCCAGCTGCCTTTGTCTCCCCAGTGGTGATGTTTTACACAACGGACCAGGTACTCATTTAAGGCGGAGTCGACCTGGGGGAGGCCCAGAAACGGTTCAGATAATCTTCACTGGTGTTGGCCGCCAGGAGCAATCGAACTCGGGTCGTAGTGCTGCGCACTAACCATTGCACTACTGCTCCCAGGGCATGGATATGCACACGCATGAACACACACATGACCACTCACACACGGGACACACAGGCATGGGCATACGCGCACACGATTCTTACGCACTTTAATACATCGAATCATGTCATCGATTGTTCACGATTGGCGCAAATCATCACGCACATCATCGTTGCCGTTACAGTTGGGCTAATCGAGCGGATGGAACCGATTCACAAAATTGCCTGGGTCAGGGAAAGAATTGTCCGTTAGGCCCCTTTGCCGCAGTGTAAATTGTCGCCGCTGCACCGCCACGCTGGTGGGCAGACTCACCGCGAGCAGGTCAGCGACCCCCCCAGCAGGGTATACTTGCTGACCAGCTGCTGTCCCGCCCCCGCTGCCGCCTCCATTCCCTCCGCCGCCTCCGCTTGCGCCCAGGTGTAGACGCGCAGGGACAGGTCAAGCGAGCAGCTCACCACACGGAACGGGTCCTGCGGACCGCGCGGCCAGACACGGGCGCAAGGAGTGTGGCAGTGCCCAGGGTAAAGGGGCCGTTGATTTTTATCACAGAGTACTTTCCGTGTCTGGCTGTCGCTTGATGATGCTGGTTGCAATTACTGGTGAAACATCGTCGGTTTACTCTACCAACACACCGGTGTGCTGTACTAAGTAACGAATTAGCATGTTTTGTCTACGTGACAAACCTTAATGTCTGTGGCAGGTTTAACGACGCATTTATATTTACGTGATGTAACCCAAAAAAGCCCAGATAATATCGGTCGCGAAAGCCTCCTACGTGTTAAACTCGACAGGGAGTACTTGCCACGTGGACTGGTGGCCGCCACAGCAGCCATTGTGAGAGGTTACGCTGGATGTGGCATGTCGTCATTACGAAAGAGCAAGCCAAACCATTGTCTCAGTTTGTCGTAGGACATTTTGTGTATAGTGTGGTGGTGGTATCGTGTATAGTACGGTGGTGCCGCCAGGCCCGCACCACGTGGATGCCGGTGATCTGCTGCTTGTGGTCGCTGAACGTCGCGAGGCGACCCCCGGTGGCCGCGTCCCACACGCTCAGCTGCTGCCCGAGCGTCGTGAGGACGATGTTGTGGCTCGCTGTGCGCAGGAACGGCGCTTGCGTCGCCCACTGCTCCTTGGGAATGATGAACCGCACCGCCACCTCGCTCACTGGCGGAGAGAGCGCGGCGTGCGGGGAGAAGGATCGGACGGAATCGGGTTCCGCTTCGGACGCCGACGCGACCAGATGTAGAGCTACAACTGACGGCTGCACCTCAACAAGGTTGACGTTAAAACACAAAAAAACGATAATTGGTTTTTTACCCTTCTATCTGGCAACAAAACTGACACATTTTTACAAGGAGTCATGTTTGCATAGACCGCAATACCTGCAGTCATAATACAAACAAAAGACATAACTCTGATAATGTGCACTGTCCTTGAAGTTGATTGGTCCACACCCGAGACAGCTTTCCTTAGAGCCTAGTCTCACATGGGTTGGACCAGATGACGCCAAAAGGCGCACGAAGTAAAAAAAACGAGCCAAAAAACCATCGGGTTGAAACCGCGAACCGTTGCGACGGCTCATCGAGCCCGCCGTCGTCGCGCGGCCCACGAAGCGCCCCGCACCTACCGGCGACGTGCTCCTTGCGCCTGGCCTTGCCCAGCTCCACGTCGAAGCAGCGCACCTCGTGCTGCCCATCGGCCAGCTCGACGGCGGCGGCGAGGCGCGCCGGTTTGGCGGGGAACCACGCCGCCGCCAGCACGCCGAGACCGGCGAGCTCCGGGAGCGTCGCCGTCACCATCGCCGCCATGGGATCGGGGCGCCAGTTGGCGGGGCGCGGGGGCAGAGGCCGGCGGGGGTCGGGAGGTGCCTCCTCCTCGTCCTCCGTGCACAACGCTCGCACGCCCAGCAGCTGGTCGCGCCGGCACCACCGCACGCAACGTCAAATCCATGTGGAACAGTGCCAAGCAGAATTGTACCAACGCCAGCCGCGTCGTACGATGCCGGACGTGTTAAAAGAATGGCTCTGTATGTAAGGCCATGTAAGTGCATGGGTCTATACAAATCTATGGTTCTCGTTGCAAGTCGATGGATCTCTGTGTATGGGCGGTGTTTGCGAGGACGAGAGAAGAATTTAACACGGAAGAATTTAACACGGAGGCTTTCGTGGTCAATGTTATTTATAATAAAGGTTTTCGGATTAGATTGCGTAAATATAAATGTGTCGGAAACCCACCACCACCCAACACAGCCAATTCATAAGGTTTGTCACGTGAACAAAACGTGTGTACACTGGCGTGATGGTGAGTAAATCCACAACATTTACAATTTAGTACGACGTTTCGCTGGTGATTACAATGAGCTTCATCAGGCGATTTTACAGAATCGTGAGGAAGTCTTCCTGCTTCCGATCTTAAATACAGCAACATGATGTCATCACTGTGAGCTTATCAGGTGCAAAGATCAGAGGGGGGTTTATTATTGTCATATCCATTATATTAACCTGTAAATAAGCGGTGCATATTACCATATGGGTTAATCACAGTTCATCAATATATACGATGCCTGGAATAGGCATGCAATTAAAAGGTGTGTTACTTAATAACATGCCGGATGAGAGAAGAGGCGCACGGTAGAAACGCCGAATAGAGAAAGTTCGAGCAGCTGATCGCTGTGCAGCGATGAGACCTTTGGTGTCAAAACAGCTCTCGCTGTACTCACCTGCACTGGCACGTCCGGGCTGTGGGTGGCACCCACCAGGATCACGGTGCCGACCGGCGCCGGCGCCAGCAGGTTAAGCGCGTGGTCCTCGGCCAGGAGAAGGCTGCGCACGGGGGCGAGGGAGGGCAGCGCCAGTACCCGCAAGGTGCCCATGTTGCCGCCCGCCTGGCGACGCACAGTGGACGCGTGGCCGCGTCACCGCTATCCCGCCATCTCCCCACTCCACCCCGGTCCTGTCCCAGGATTGACCTCAAGGTCGCACGCTCGCCACGATTGCGACCCTGCAAGGACTCTCCTCTGCCTGCCTCTCCCCTCTACCCTCTCGTCTTGCTCTGCTGTGCCCCACGCACTCTCCGAGCTCTTCTCACAACCCACACGTCGCGGCGGGGAGGCCCCCGTCCAGCAGGGCGCTTCACGGAAGGGCTGTCCGCGTACAATTATGAGCGCGTGACAATCGTGGTGCAGATCGCGCGATCGCGGACTCACTAGCAGGAAGTGGCCGCCCTCCAACGCGCACGTCGCGAGCACCGTGACCCCGGGCGTGGGGTCAGCTCGGGTCGCGACCTCGTGACCTCCGGCCGCATCCCACACCGTGACTTCTCCGGCCCGGCTCCCCGACACCACGAGCCCCAGCGTCGGCACTGCCACCAGGCACTCCACGGCCGTGCCGCCCACTTGCCCAGCCAGCCACAGCTGCTGGCCCTGCAAGCGATCGTCGGAGGATGAGACTGGGTCCCGGCATGGAAATGAGGAGTGGTCACCTCCAGCGGGGGCACGTCGTGGAGGTCGGGTGGCTCAGATGACCGTGGCATTACAATTAAACTAAACTTTTTTTTTCTAGATTTGAAGCTTTCGTGACTGCAAGGGTTTTTTCAGTAAAGTCACGTAGGTAAAATTTTTAGCTGTGACGGTCCCACCTGATGACGGAGACTTGTGTTGCCTCCGAAACGTCGTGATTTATTATTTTATTTTATTTCCATTATTACTTTTATTAACTTTTAATTATATTTTTTACCTACGTGACTTTACCCAAAAAACCTGAGAGTACTTTTTTTTTTTACCAGATAAGGCCCACTGAGCTATACAGTTCTATTTCAGAAGCGAGCTGGCCAAAATTGATAGCTCAACGAAGTGGCTTATCCTGTGGAGAGAAAAACAGGAGTACCACGGTGAGAACATGCAAACCACAAATATACAAAGGTGAGGGTTAGAATCGAACCCACGACCTCCTGAATACCAGGTGAGGTAGTTAACATCTCGCCACTGTGGCAAGATGTTAATTACCAGTTCTATGATATCCACTTCCGAATTAGGGTTGCCACCTGTTCTAGTTTGCCCAGGATCGTCCTCTCGTTGAGGCAACCACAGCAACAGCTGTGCTGGGAAATCTGAAACTCTTCCCTCGTTTACACCATTGGAACCTCCTTTGCCAGTAGAAAAATATGATAATTGTTTTTTTACCCTTTTATCTGGCAACAAAACTGACACCTTTTTTTACGAGGAGTCATGTTTGCATAGACCACAATACCTGCAGTCATAATGCAAACAAAAAACACAACTCTGATAATGTATGCACTGTCCTTGAAGTTGATTGGTCCACACCCGAGACAGCTTTCCTTAGAGCCTAGTCTCACATGGTGTTGGACCAGATGACGCCAAAAGGCGCACAACTCAAAGACAATGCACCATCAGAGTATGAGAACTCGGGGTCAGTTTTGTTGCCAGATAAAAGGGTAAAAAAAACAATTATCTTCCCTCGTTGTTAAAGGTCCTGGTTTGTATCAGCTGTGTAATAACAATGATGCAACACTCGGCACAATGTATTCACGTGTCGTTCTCAACTTTTCCTGGTATCGCGAGATTTTTTTTTTTTATTCCCAAGATGTGCCCCTTTGATTCTTGAGGTGAAAACCTGACTTCGAATTCAGGTTCCCAAACGTCGTGTGAGTTGCTGGTCTCAGCCCGATGACTGCACAAATAAACCATCTAACTTTTCTAACGCGACTAACTTTACTTTCATATCCGCACACAGCCCGTGGATCAGTGTTGACAGAGCTAGTTCTGTGATATCCACTTCATCGGGCCGTTCTCTAACACCAAGGGTTGCGCTGCTCTAATGAGAACTGCGACTGGAAACTTTTGTTCACCGCGTGACGCCGCTCATCGAGATACAATTGGAGAGTGGATTTTTATAAATAAAGTTAAGTATTCCTAAATGCGTTTTTTTTATCCATGAGCTCGAAACTACTGTCACGGCCACAGTGATGTGTGGATTTATGTAGGTTTAAATTATTTCGCACCGTATGTAACCAACCGCGCTAATGGGAGTTGCGGTATTTTATCACCAGGCCGGAAAATTAATGACGAGCCAATCTAGTGCGATCGTGGCTATGCAACCCAAGCTCTGGACCAAATAGTAAACCACTGTCGTCTGCGATCCTTCAATGGAGGAGGAGGAGCAGCAAAACGACACAAACACTCACTCTGCTGAAGCCCTTTCGTCATAGCCAGCAGATCTCGACATTGGCATTGAGCTCCTCAACCACTAGATTTGAAGCTTTCGTGACTGCAAGGATTCATACTCTTAGTTTTTTTCGGTAAAGTCACGTAGGTAAAAAATAAAATTAAAAGTTAATAAAAGTAATAATGGAAATAAAATAATAAATCACGACGTTTCGGAGGCAACACAAGTCTCCGTCATCAGGTGGGACCGTCACAGCTAAAATTAGTGCATCAAAATTACTGCATCAAGTGATTTTAGCTGTGACGGTCCCACCTGATGACGGAAACTTGTTGCCTCCGAAACGTCGTGATTTATTATTTTATTTTATTTCCATTATTACTTTTATTAACTTTAAATTTTATTTTTTACCTATGTGACTTTACCGAAAAAAAACCTAAGAGTACTCCTCAACCACATTGCTGCCACCATAGGCAAGGATGTAATAAAACGGTAAGATTCGTCCCTGCCATTACCATGTGCCATGGTCAACCCACTGCTGGATGAAGGCGTACCGTGTGCACGTCCCACGCTCGCACGCTGCCATCCTTGCTGGCGCTGCACACGCAGGTCAAGGGTCGAGCTTTCTCTGGCCGCGACGCGCTCGCTCCGCTCTTCCCTCTCTCCGCGTTCTCCTGACCATCGTCGTCGTAATCGTCGTCGTAATCGTCGTCGCCCTGCGCCGTGTCGATGCGCGGTTCCCCGTCCGAGAGGTAGCACACGGCCGAGATCGCGCCTAGAGAGGAGGGCGAGGAGATAGCAGTTGCCATCGCAGTGCGATTCCTTGGTGTCGTTTGGTACCCATCTACCCAAAACATCGTGCATTCCTTAACGTGCTCAACAGCCTCGCTGTGCTCAAGAGGCTCGATTGATGTGCAGGCCTCAGCAGCTATACTGGATACGGGAACCAGGTGCTTGTATAAAGGCTGAGTCAACCTAGGAGAGGCCCAGGACCGCGGGTTTGTAGTGCAGCACGGTAACCACTACACTACCGCTCCCCAGAAACGCACGCGCACCAACACAAGTGAGGCTTATCTAAACCAGCCGTGGGCCTCCGCTAGGTCGAATCGGACTCAGATGAGTATCCAGGACGATGTGTAAACATCGCCACTCGGGAGACAAAGGCGGCCGGGCGTGGTGCTGGCCACTCACCCCCCTGGTGCGCCGTGCCAGCCTCAATAGGTACCGCTCGCGAACAGCACTTGCCCAGCCTGCTAAAGGCTACGCGGGGGATCTTTGTCTTTGTGTGCGGGCACCGTCGTGGCCCCTCAGCGTGGTGCAGGTGTAGTCGGCGCCCGGTCGCCCGCAGCCCAGCGCCCTCTCGAGCCCCTGGCGCCGCAGGTAGTAGCGCTTCCACTCGCTCGCTCGCTCCACGCGGCAGAACGCCCAGCGGCGCCGGCACAGGCACCTGTGCGGGGCGGGAGACAGCGCGCTTGGGTTCCCACTTCTTCCACTGCTGGGTGAAGGCTCACCGTGTGCACGGTTGGCTACGTACGGGGCGAAAGAAGTTCAACATATACGTAGAAACGAAGCTAGACGCGCCCTATCTCTCGGTCAGCACGAGGTCTATCATCAACACTGTGCGGTTTATAAAGTTCAAGGCAAGACCGGTAGCCGATCACAGATGCCAAGTCCCGGATTGTCCGGGTCAAACCTGGATAGGTAGCGGCCCTATCACTGGGTCATGGGGTCACAGGTTTGTTCGTTTTTATTTATTTCATTTGCAGTTTTATTTGTGGCTCATTCGCCTAATTGTAAAAAGTGCAGTTCTGCACTTTCTTGCCCGTGCCACTGCTGGGTCGGGCTTGGTTGTAATTGTGGGAGTGGGCGGATGCGAGTGAGGTTGACAGGCGAGAGTAAGAGTCGAGAGCTGGGTTATTTACCTCCACAGCGCGGGTGAGTTGGCCACAGCGTTCCACAACTGGTGACAAGAGGGAAGAGGGCAGACACACACACACACGTGTACACACACACAAACGTGTACACACGCACGCGCGTGCATACACGTGAGCATATGCACCCCGCACATACCAATATAGAAAGATCTCTATATTCTTAGGTTTTTTCGGTAAAGTCACGTAGGTAAAATATTAAAATTAATAAAAGTAAAATATTTTATTTTACTTTTATTAATTTTAATTTTAGGTACTTTTAATTTTTTAGGTAAAAAATTAAAATTAATAAAAGTAAAATATTTCATTTTACTTAATAAAAGTAAAATATTTTATTTTTACTTTTATTAATTTTCATTTTTACCTACCGACTTTACCGAAAAAACCTAAGAATATGAATCCTTGCAGTCACGAAAGCTTAAAATCTAGAAATAGAAAGATCTCCCCACAGCTTTTAACAAGCTGTTGGGAGGGGGGATAAGTGCCATTCGCAGGTACCTATCAAGGCTGACACCTGTGATGTCGTCAGCACCACACCTGGCCTCATTTCTCTCCCCAGGGCTGCACGCGCCCGATGATTGTTCAACACGTCCCAACGTTGACGCGCTCAGCAGTTAACGGAGCCGTGTAGACCTGTTCTTCACCTGTCTGTGTAGACCTGTTCTTCACCTGAGGACGGCTGCTTGCATTGTGGCCGAAACGTCGTGAGAATTATTTTATTATCTTTTATTTTTATTATTTTATTATTTCCCTTCTACGTGACTTTACCGAAAGAAGCAGAGATGTAGAGCCTGTTGGAATTCCCTACACCTCTGCTGTAGCAGACGGACAGAAAATATGGCATCTGTGCAGGACCGCCCTTTCCTGAAACCGCATTGGGGCTCTGCAAGCCTCTCCTCAGCGTGCCTAGCAAGGCGATGTTGAATAATCCTTGCCAGGACCTTTCCCGGCACACTTGAGGAGTGAGATGCCCCTGTAGTTGTTACAGTCTGTGCGGTCCCCCTTCTTAAAGAGGGAATTAAAGAGCGATTTGTGATCGCGGGCCATTGAGGCAAACTCCATCTCCTCAGCAACCCGCGACCACCACCCATCCTTGCAGCGCCTCACGGCTCTCCGAACCTCCGAGCGAAGGCTGCAGTAAAAGCCTCCTCATTCTCCGACGTGGGATGCTGCAGACGATGAGAGTGGGCCTGTCACTTTTTCTCAGTCAGCCTGAGCACCTCCCTCTGTCAGCCAGGGTCTCTGGGGAGGTCTGGACCGTGTACCCGAAGCAGCCATTGTAGCTGCCTGAGCATCACTCGCTCACCCCCACACACACACTCACCCCCACACTCACCCTCACACTCACTCACCCTCACACACACACTCACTCACCCTCACACACACACTCACTCACCCTCACACTCACTCACCCCCCACACACACTCACCCCCCACACACACTCACCCCCCCCCCACACTCACACTCACTCACCCCCCACACACACTCACTCACCCCCACACTCACTCACTCCCCACACACTCACCCCCACACACTCACCCCCACACACACACCCACACACTCACTCACTCACACTCACTCACCCCCACACACACTCACCCCCACACACACTCACACCCACACTCACCCCCCCCCCACACACTCACCCCCACACACACTCACCCCCACACTCACCCCCCCCCCCCACACACTCACTCACCCCCACACTCACCCCCATACACACTCACCCCCCCACACTCACTCACCCCCCCACACTCACTCCCACACTCACTCACCCCACCACACTCACCCCCACACTCACCCCCCCCCCCCCCCACACACACATACCCTCACACTCACTCACCCCACACACTCACTCACCCCCCCACACTCACTCCCACACTCACTCACCCCACCACACTCACCCCACACTCGCTCACCCCACCACACTCACCCCCACACTCACTCACCCGGTTGACTACCGCTGCCCTGAGCAGCTGCTCTGCTCGCAGGAAGGTGAACACGTGCGCCAGGCAGTCAAACGGCAGCGGCTGCTGCTGCTCGCACTCCATTGCTGCCCTGCTGCGCCGGGGGTAGGACTCGAACCGTCGGCTCGCACCCTGGGGGGCCAGGAAGCCTTCCTCAGGTGGCCCCGGCTGCGTGAGCGACTCCAAAATATCAGCGGGGTCACGAGGGGGGAGGGGGGGGGGAGCCTCATTCGCTTCCGCGTGAACCCGAAGAAACGCGCGCGTGTCTCATCCCACAGCCGCCAACCGGGAGGTGGCGCTCTCCGCGTGCCCACTCCACATTCCCGCGGGCGAGGGCACGGCCGTACCCCGTTTCGCTTTGCCACGAGCGGAAATTCCACATTGCCTACGGCCGAGGGACATGGCAACTCTTGCTCTGAGCCCGCGGTGGGAATTCTACAATTCTGTGGTTGTTTCAATTCCACATTCCCATGACGAAGCCAAGTCGATCCATGCTCTGAGCGAGCGAAGAGAATTCCACACGCCTGTGGTTAAGACAAGTCCACCCATACTCTAGAGTCTGTGGTGTAAAATTCCTACAGGATAGTATCATGGCCGGGGCGAGTCTGTTCATAAGGCTGTTGACTTCCCACAAAGTGGTACTGCTTGTTTTAGTGACCCTCTGGAATGATGATGATTTATGTTAAATCTGTCAATAAAATGTTACTTTAACTACCGTGGATTCATATCGATGTTTAATCGCGCGGTTTAAGAATCGAAGATTTTGTATTCATATAGTGTAGTGGGTGGTCCAGATGTCTTGTTACAACCATTTAATTCTCAAAAACTCTCTATTTTTAAAGTACGGTTTGTTTAAAACACAAATGAATATGCAAAGGAAAACAATGTTAGGGGTCAATTCTTTGGCGGTCAAAAGACATCTGGACCACGCTGTACGGCGGTTCAGACAGAATGCTCCCCCGAGGTTCGCCTACCGAGGAGATGGAGCGATGGAATCGGCTCGTGTGCTGGGCGGATTTTAAACACATTCCTGCGGAGGGAGCTGGTAGGAACGTTGCGTTGCTCGGTCAATGCCCAGGGTCAACGGCAGCGTCGTGAATTCCGCAAATATGCCCGACTGTGAAAACGGGCACAAGCCGGCGTGAGTAGGTTAAACGTTGAGTTTTATAAGGGCACCACGGGGTGACCAGCCCCTCCCCACCCAGCCCCACCCCTCCCACCCCCCACCCAGCCCCTCCCCACCCTCCCCTCTCCACCCAGCTCCACCCCTCCCATTTTTGGATTCACGACGGACGGACGGACACAATAATCCCCTGTGGGGATCGTGAGTGGTGGCGATGGCTCGGGGAAGGAGGCCTTCATCCAGCAGTAGATGGATGACGGCTGACGACGATGATGGCGAGGGTACAGATGTACTCGTGCACCTCCGATTAGCATGGTGGGCTACGTGCGGTGCGAAAGAAGTCCAAGATGCATAGACTCACACAGGGACCCATATACTCACACAGAGACCCATAGACTCACACAGAGAGCCATAGACTCACACGGAGACCCATAGACTCACACGAAGACCCATAGACTCACACAGAAACCCATAGACTGACACAGAGAGACCCATAGACTCAAACAGAGACCCATAGACTCACACAGAGACCCATAGACTCACACAGAGACCCATAAACTCACACGGAGACCCATAGACTCACACGAAGACCCATAGACTCACACAGAAACCCATAGACTGACACAGAGAGACCCATAGACTCAAACAGAGACCCATAGACTCACACAGAGACCCATAGACTCACACAGAGACCCATAAACTCACACAGAGACTCATAGACTCACACAGAGACCCATAGACTCACACAGAGACCCATAGACTCACACAGAAACCCACAGACTCACACAGAGACCCATAAACTCACACAGAGACCCATAGACTCACACAGAGACCCGTAGTTTGTTTTACTTCCCCCGCACCTCCTATTAGCACGGTTGTCAACGTACGGTGCGAAAGAAGTTCAACGCATGCGTGTGCATACATAGCAGTAGTTGTGTTCAGCGGGTTCACGTGACCTCTGCAGCCACGAGGGAGCGCTCTGTTCACCGCGATGTTTCAAAACAACGATTCTGTGGGATCGTTAACATCCCTGAGAAACATGCAAAACGAAGAAAGTTTTAAGAACTTCAAAAATACAAAGGCAGCATTTTTGCGATGGACGCCTCTTGCAAATGTTAACGCGTTTAAGGAAAACTTGGAATTCAATTGCCTCCTTATAAGTTAACGCTTTCGCGAGCAATATTATCCATAAGGTATTTTTTGGGGTTAAATCGCGTAAATGTGTCGTTAAACTCGCCACCACCCGACACAGCCACTTTAGTAAGGTTGTTTCGTTGATGTGACAAACCTTACTAATTGTCTGTCGGGTGGTGGCGGGTTCTACGACACGTTTATATTTACGCGCTCTAACGCCACAAAAAAAAACCTCTGTTACGAAAATTAACCCATTCATCGTATCAAATCGTCGCCTGCATATCCAGCAACGTGGATGCACCGTGGCTGTTGACGCATTAATCTCGTGCTCCAAATCGAGACACACATCGGCACGTGCAGTGCGATTGATACATCACGACAACACGTGCCTCGTCGACCTGGGTGCCGACAGCACCCAATCCTGAACTGCGCCTTGCAATCCCAGACTCCCAAACCTCGATAATTGCATCTCACCCCCTCCAGCACCACCACCACCCCACTAATCAGACACGGCACGCACCGAGTTGATGAGTGCACGCGCACCACGCGACGGGATGCATTGTGATTCGCCGCTTTGCACGTGCGAATATTCACCCGCACCGCTCCACGCGTGGTGGCCGTGGGCTTGGGGGCTGATTTGCTCATCCACTCATCGCAGCCGCTCCATTGGTCGAGCCGGTTTGCCAAATTCTGTAACTCCAAAAACAATCATCCGCGGCGCCTCCCTGCAATTGGGCAGCTGCCGCGGATGACATCACCGCCAGCACGCCATAAAACCCCGCGCTCGCTTCAAATCTTCTCACACACACTTCGCCAGCTGCCAACGCAGGGGGTTGGGGGGGGCTTGCACCGGAGTTGTCGCCCGTCGCCCTTGGCGCGGCTGGGGCTTGCCGCCGCCGCCGCTGCTACCGCTACCACCACCAACTCCAGCGGGGTCATCCGTCCAGGTTCATCATCATGGCCACCCGCGTCTTCTCGCGCTTGCTTGCCCCACTGCAGCGGCAGATTTGGCCGCTGGTGCGGTTTTCATCGACCGCGTCTGGAGTCACGGAGGAGGTCTCGACAACCACAACCTCCTCCTCTCCTGAACCCGGCACCACCACCACCGCCTCTACGGCATCTGCTGAACCATCCGCTCGGCCTCCACGCCCGAGGCCCGTCTGTAACGTCAGCGACATCAGCAGCTACCTGTGGACGCGCTACGACGAGACAAAGAAGCTGGTGAAAGGTAAGGCGGAGTGCGTTCTTCGCCTTTTAGTCTTGAACCCTCTAACAATAAGCGCTGCCCTTGGCGCAGTCATGCTCTTCCATTGTTAGTGGGGTAGCCCGAGGCGATCGTCTGGTCGGGGTGCTTTGTGCGCTATGGGACTGGTCCGGCTTTGGTCTTCCCCACGCTGCTGTGTGTCTAGGGCTGGGTGGGTCGCGACCGCCTTGTGTGGTGTTTAGTCCAGGCCACGGACAATCCCTTAGAGGTAGTTTTATATATTTTTACGTTAAATAATTTCCTCTTGTTCCATTTCAATTACGCAGCAGTGCACATTACAAGACTAACGATTACAGGGAGGGCATGGAACAATTCGGCGCTGGTCGGTCTTGTTTTGCTTCCAGTACGCCTGACTTGAAGCTAATTTGTTAATGTCAGCCTGTCTCCTGCTACTAGGCGAGCTGAATGCGTTCGATTGTGGTGGTTGCGCATCCATCCGTGGTGTTTTCGTTGGAACACCCATCGATGGCTGCGTAATTTGTTGCCTCCTGGCCAAGTCTCTTTCACTCGGACTTTCCGTTGTGGTTCCACTTCTGTTCGCCCCGTATTCTTGTACAGAAATTGAGTTCCCAGGTCCATACGGCGTACAGCCGTTTCAATACGGACAATAAACATGTTGTCCTTCTGCGTGTGGTGGACTTGGTAGAATGAACGTTGATCTTTATAAGGGCACGGTATTCTAGGTCTGAATTGGTAAAAAGTTAGGGCCCCAATGAGGGATTAACGGTTGTGGTGGTGATTCCTTTTTACCGCGGTGGTTGCATGGGACTTGTTGGTGGTTAAATTGATGGTAGTTTACACTGAACGTTAATATCCCTTTAACATTTATTGATTCGTTCGACCTAGGTGGTTGACTTTCCTTATGGATTTTAGAATGCAGGCAAAATCCCAAACCCTGCTTGCACCGTCTTGCAGTTGCAGGATGTATCAACGCCACTGGGATTTGTATTCGTGCAATCTTACCCAAAACAATGGCACAATCGTAATGTTAAATGGCTTAAGCGTTGTATTGCCAAGTGATTGTCTCATGACGGCAATTTTAAACTGCCCGCCGCAATGCATTGAGTCTTTACACCTGACGATGGCTCCGCTAGTCGTAGCCTTGCCGTTGACGAGTGCTTGCTATGGTCTGTCAACGAGTGGCTGAGCAATACAAATTGCTGCATTGGTAGCGCTGTTGTATTACCGATTTGACCTTGGCAATCGCCGTTTTACCACGAGTTGACGGTTATCGACGACCTGGGTTTTTACATCGATGTACGCTCTCTGACGATGTTGGTGTCCTAAAGTTGGCCGCGACGTGGTGTTGGTGTGCCAGCTGCTATGATGGTGGCGCGTCTCCGAACGTGCAACGCATTCCAGTCACGCACATAGCCGGCCAAGAGCGGACCCCGTTCACGAACGCCGCTCTGAAACTTTGACATTGGCGCTTAACACTTGCTGCACGACCCTTGCAAATGTACTACCGATGCAGTCTTTGTGTGACACAAATTGATTTTAAGGGTCCTTGTGTAAAATATAGCGCTGTAGAGAGTGTAAACAATTTAGTTGAGCGCTGCACCGATTAATTCCGTAACGTAAACACGTCTGCTGGAGACCGACAACATTTAGGTATTGGCCGTCCGCTGCTAGACTTCCACCAAGCCATTGCGATCTGTCACCTAGCATGTTTACATGAACAAGAGTTTTTTTTTTAATCTCCGTTGTCCTCCCCCGGGCGTGTTTCTTCTTCACCCCTCTGCTGTCGTTCCGCCCTTCCCGTCACGACGCATCCTGCCCCAAGCCCGCAAGTCTCTCGTGACAGTAATTGGAAACATTTCTTAGACCCCCTAGAATTCGGTGGGGGGGGGTTACTGCTATAGATGTAAACAGCTTTTATCAGCTGAAGCGCCCGCACCACAACTTCCTGAACGGTTTGAACCCCGGGACAATGTTGCCCGTTCTGGAATTTAAACGCGTAAACAACCCTTGAGGCATCGTGATTTCATATCCATTGCGACAGGAGGCGATCCTGCAGCACGTGCAAGATCGCACGTGCTGAGCCTTTTAAAAGCTCGATGCCAAAACAACCACAACGATCCGACTGTTCCGTGATCGTGACTCGTTTCTCCTCCCACTGCCTGGCCGTTCACCTTGAGCCCCCCCCCCCCCCCCCGTTGGCACCGTCATGGACGCGTTCCTCGTTGTACGGATTATTTCTGGTTTAACTGGAATAAGGCGATTACCCCCCCACCCACCGCCGCCTCGTCTCCACAAACCCACGTTACCCCTCCCCCCTTTTCGTACCAGCTGTCTGGTAAACATCCTTCTCAGGACGTCGCGCTGTAACCGGTTCTAACCGGTTTAGTCGTAAGGGGTGGCAAGATGCGCGGTTTCGATGGGGTGGGGAAAGTGAAGTGTGGTGACGCCCTCCCTCGTTTCAGGCTTTTTATTTATTGCTGCTTTGGGAACATTGCGGTTCCAGATCCACTCTCCAGCGTGGTGGAGCAGCTGGTGCCTGTGACGTCCACCCCCCCCGATTCTGATGCTTGATTTGCCTAACACCGGTAGTGTTCTCTCATCTGATCATGCTCGTTCAATCTACACGGATCTGCGTAGTGAAATGTGTGCTTTTTTTTTTAAAAGTAATCCTCTGTACACGGCAGTGCCAGCTGCCATTTAAACCAGAGGTCGCAACCGAGTACCCTACCTGATACCCGGCTACCCGTACCCAGCCAGGTACAGGTAGCCGTTTGCGACCCTGGTGCGGCCGGGTACGGGTAAGGAATCAAAAACCGTTTGCGACCTCTGCATTAAACCTTGCACACCCTGGCTTCCTCGTACCCCGTGCAGACATCGTTCCCCCTGGGCAATGCCACCTGCTGAACCACAGCGCCGTGTACGTCAACAACGAGCTGTGCCTGGACGACATCGGCACCTACGGCTTCGACTACGACTACACGCTGGCGCTCTACTCGAGCGCACTGCACCACAAGATCTACAACGCCGCGCTTGACATCCTAGTCAAGCAGTACAAGGTGTGCGACCTGCCACGCACATCTCTTGCTCCCCAATATCCCACGGTGAATGCGCATGTGAGCTTTCGCACCATATGTAGCCAACGGTGCCCATCGGTGGGAGACTACAACTAAACCCATGTCAGCTGAAGCCTTTCCCAGGCAGTTGTGGTAAACTTGATTGTGCCATCTACCCTCCCCCTCCAGTACCCGGAGGAGCTGAAGAAGTACGAGTACCGGCCGGACTTTGCCACCCGGGGCCTCCACTATGACATCCACAAGGTTAGGGGTGAACGGGTGTGGGGGGCTGGGTTGATGCCTACCCGTCCACGTGGTGTAAGTTATTAGACGGGCTTCTCATAAGATGGCACTTCATTGACGACACGTTCACTTGACATTGGGCGAAGACCCCACTACAACAGACCCTGAGTCTCCCATGCAGCTCCCTTGTATATCAACACAAGGCCACGCCACCTCGCTCGTTCTTGCCGACTCTGGTCGCTCGCACTACCGGCGGGCTTTGGTGCCTAACCACGCTCCCTTCTCTGGCATTCCTATAGCCACCAGTCCCTTCGTGCTCGCAACGGACTCCCCTGTCACTTCCTGTGGCCACGAGTCCCCTTGCACCGCATGCAGGCTCTATTGTCCTTACACTTGTGAGCTAGCATTGCCAACTGTGCAGCTATTCTGGCATGTTTTTTAAATGTCTTCGCATCTCCCAATTTGCTTTTTTCAAAAGTTCCCTGGAGATGGCTTTTCCAAAATGTGGGGGCAATCTGGGCATGCTGACAACCTTGAATACCAGTGTAGAGGTCGGGCTTTTATGTAATGCCAGGTGTGGGGTCCATCCTCCTGACGTGTCAAAAGCGGTGGTTAACAATGACTGCAACCTGCACCTTTTTGTTCTTGGGACATCCTGAAGGGGTAGGTGCACCCAATGGGTTAAGAACCACTGGTCTTAAAATGTGACTGGTCAAAAGGGGGTGGACAACTTTTACCAGCCAAGGTCCACTGACCTATAGTTTGTTGCTTCAAAAGCGACCTGTCCAGAAATGACTGCTCGAGTTGGCTTGTGGAACTTAATAGCAGCAAAATACTCAATGGGAACTCAACACGACCACTTAATATGCAAACTGCAAATAAACAGACATTGGGATTGGACCAAATAAACCTGTGACGGTTAAAATCTTCCCAATGTGACGCCTTACTGAAGCTTTTGGCATAGTGCAAAATTCGCTACAACTCTGAAACGCATGATGGTATACAACACAACCATGCGCTGTTACGACCACACGCTATGTGGTTGATTGCCGCCTTGTTTAGGCCTGACGTAGATTCTATCTTGGCCAGGGGATTTCTGGGACTGGGGGTTTGTGATCAGGCGGCGGAGACTTAAAGCGGGCACTTGTAGATTGGACCGACCCAGACCTGCTGTCAATTCTAATTGCAACCTCCGAATGCAATGTGAACTGAAGCGACATTGCCACGATGATCATTATGGAATGCACACGCTTAATTGGCCCCTGGGGTCTGGTACCGTTGGTCTATAACCCGCCGCCTGTGTTACCAGGGGCTGCTCATGAAGATCGACGCCTTCCATCACGTCCAGCTGGGCTCGGTGTACAGGTGCGCGAGCCTGGCAACCCATCGGGACCTTATTGTTGTGCCCGTCGGCTTTTCTGGCATTTTGAGCTGTGTTTTGTGCACCCCACCCCCGTGAAAGCCAAGCTTTGTCAGTACCAGTTCTAAGATCTCAATTCATGACTAATAGGCCGTAAAAAAAATTGGCGAAATTGGAACACTTGTAGAGGCCCCAACCATCTGTCGCCATGATGCTATTGAAGGCCCTCCCCACTGTTGTAAATCGATGTATTGACAAACTTCATCACCACTGGACAGGTTTTTTGCAGTAAGGGGTGGCACAGAACCAATTTGGGGATAATCGTCTCTATGGAAATCCAAATGAGTTGCAGTGTATACCACTGCTCAAACCTGCAAAAAAATCTGCTTCTCCATTTCAAGGTCTTGCTCTGCTACACGATGAGCCATGATCCAGATTTGCATCGGCCATTACGTTGCTTCCAGAATCATATTTATTTTTCCTGGAGGAATCTGAGCTGTGAAGCGGAACGTAGCAAACAATAGAAACGACATCTGCACGGCTTGCTTGTGGTGGGTAAATTGGATGGGCACGGTTGGTATCACTCTAACGACCGTTGTCGTCCACCACAGGGGCTACTCGCCAGTGCCAGACGACGAGGTGATGACCCTCTACAGTGGCACCCACGTGCGCCTTCACCAGATGACCGACTTCTACGGCAAGGTCGGTTGACACATCTTAAAATTTCACCCACTTGTACTGAGCCATTTACCTGCTGCCTCGCTCGTACCAGGTTCTTGTCCTGCGCATTTGCCAGCTTGTCAACCAGTCGTTACTCTGCTTGCACCTAACGGCTGTCTGGCATCGCTTTCTTGCACCCAAATAACCACCAATCCCTTTCCCCGACTCGCTTGATGGGTGCTTGTGGGCCTGCAGGATTTTGTCAGAGGGAGGCATGTTCATTGTCATCCTAGGAAGTGGAGGGGAATGTCTGAAATCTACATTTGGAGCTGGTGGTGTTCCTGAGCTTGTTGGTACTCTGCCAATAACGGCTTTGTGCGCTCCCCGCATCAAAACAGTCTGGGTAATTCCCCTCCCCCATCGAAGTGCATACTGCCAGAATGAATCTGCTCACGCACGTGGGAGGCGCGTGTCTCCACACGCAGGCTGTGGTCTGCCTCTGCGTTAAAGCACTCCCACAAACGGCGCCTCTTTGGGTTGGTGCTGCCCCAGTGCTGGGTGTTGGCACTGCAGTCAGGGGGCTAAAGTTGTCAGGATTTCCCTCGCGTTTTCATGCGGCTGCTGTATTGTGGACCGTTATAGTATAGGTAAATAGCAATTATTAATATGCGTTTTTAAACTACAATCTTGCCACCACTACCATCCTACCAATGTTTCCTACCCTGCAGATCCTGCAGTTGGCATGAATGCCTGTCTACGATGCCAACTCTTTGCATGCAAATCTTTTAATTATGCCCCCTTTGTAGCACTGCACCACCCACGTGGTTGTGAAATGTATTAGCAAAGCACTAAAATGGCGCGATGTCACAGCTGCTGCCGAGTGATGCCGCAGGCCTCGTCTGGCTGCTTGCCTCTGCCCCCTTTATCAGACGCGGAGTGATTACAGTTCTAGATGGGACCTTGCATCATGGCAGACCGAATCCTGAGGTTGATCCAATAGGCCAGTGTTTTATTGACATTTTTGGATGGGAGTTTGAATTTCTAGTGGACAATTTGCCGATTGTCCACGAAGTGAAGAAAAAAATCTGATTACGCATTGCAGATTTGGCGTTGGTCTCGCTTCATTATTTACCTAAATATTGCAGCTGAACTGCAGCACCTTCAGTGGCCAGAAAGGTCACGTGTACAGACATGAACACGTGGAGGCGTTTTAGAATGAAATATTGTTCATTTACACCCAATTTGTATGGGAACTCCATCTAGATTTCATCCAACATCTTGGTCCTGAATGAGCCAAGTTGCACCATCGCTATTAAATGTCACTTCTCACCAGTTGAACGCACTGCCTAATTGATTATTCATATGGTGCTCCACCCTGTGACAACTAAGACTGGGTATTGATTTTATCTGGATTAGAAACTGCGAGTGGCTGTTTCATAGCTCTGTGGCCTTGGCTAGCCATATGCTCAGAGGTCAAGTCACTCGCTGAATTTCTGCAGCAGTTATCCATACAGCCGGTTTTGGTAGCATGCTGAAATGTTGGTGATAGCGCAATTTCCTCTGTCCCTTGGCTCCTGTCCAAGCTTTCTCTCACGTGGGTGCTTGTTTACTTCAGACGTGCAAATGGACAATCCATTTCTTGTTGGTTGTGGTGTGCTGGCCTGCATGGTCATAGATACTGTACCGGCTCGTGTATTCATTCCAAGTATATCAACTGAATCCTGTAAGATGTAGGTCACGCCACTAAGGCCCATGATGGGAGTTTTGGACTGACTGCATGTCCAGTGATTTTTCTGACGCATTGTAGAATTGCAGTCGGTCTCAACAGGTTTAAAAAATATATTTAACCCATCACACGTGTGTTCCATGTTCCCCTGACATTTATCTTGCCCATGAACACAATTCCATGGTGTGCTAGATGAGCAGGACTGGTGGATGCATCTGCCAGCTGACCATAACACGTGTGGTTTTTGGTGCAGGGAAGCCGCATGAAGCAGTACATGGATGTGTTCTCCATCCCGGAGATGACTCTGCTGTCAAGTGTCAACGACCACTTCAAGGGCAACCGCATTGAGTACGACCCCATCCACCTCTACAAGGATGTGTCGGTAGGTCGCCCATCTGGCACTGCCAAACCCCATCTTGGTGTATGCACCACACGTGGCAAACGCACAAACCTGTACCGTGACTTTTGTTTTGATCTCGGCCTGGTTTTCTGCTCTAGCACCTGCCATTTACCCCCTGTTCTTAGTGCAACTCGACAATTTGTGTTTTGCATATCTGATCTTGTGGCTCTCGTGCTGGTCCAGCGTTGGTCAATGACAACCTCGGTTCTGTTCACGTGGTTCATTGGTAAGGGGGGGGGGGGTTAACATTGTGCATGACCAAACTATCTAATTTGTCTGCCGTGCTTGCAGAAGGGGGGAGGGTGCGAGTTGTCTGGGAAGTGATAAGAGAGTGAGCTACATGAGGCTTCGTTAGTCCAAGCACTGCATGCATTCAACCCGATCCGTTATGGTCAGGTTTGCCAGTCCTCGCTGAGCACAAGTAACTTGGAACCGTTCCCATGCTGACCTGGATTGGCTTTTAACTAATTTGACTGACACGCAGCTCCTTTTAATTGTCACCTCGGCTTTACATGGCTCTCCGTTGAAGTTGCTTTTGTCTTGCAATTGTTTCCCACAAATGTAGGTTTTATACTTGCTCGACCATATTTCCATCAGCCCTCTAAATTCAGTTTCTACTTTGAAACCAAATTCCTGGTTTGACCTATTTAAAGACACCTCGGTGGCTTTTGGATAGACCAGGGGTCGGCAACCAAAATAACAAGAAGAGCCATTTCTATCCAATTCGGTACAAAATTCAGTATTTCAAGAGCCGCAATGCATCTGAGTACATACGTACTCATCGTCAAGAAGCAGCCCGTAAAGAGCCGCATGCGGCTCCGGAGCCGTAGGTTGCCGACCCCTGGGATAGACTAAACAGGTTTTACGTTTTAGACCCATGACACCGCGATTGGTGTTAATATGGATATTTGAGAACTCTACAGCCCAAAACGGTGTAACACGAGTGAATTGTTTCGAAGCAGTTTTTTTAAAACTTGGCACAGAATTAAATGGACCCAACCATTGCACGTTATGGGTGGAGGGGTGGGGCATCCCTAACACCCCCCCCTGTCAACTTGGAGTGTTCTGCTTATAATGCAGTCCAGCTGGTGCTCTAAGACGATCACATGATTTGGTCAAACGGTGCTTAACGCAGTTTCCCAACATGCATCGTGTGTGATCATGACCCAGAGCTGCCCTGAGGCGGTGTTGCTGTGTGCAATACTAAGTCTGCAATTGTCGTACCTTTTGCCATTTTCAGTGATCACCACTATTCTAGGCATGTTCTTAAATGTTCCATGTAGTTTGATTCGGACTTGCTCCATCTGATCTATTAAAGTACCATCCTGAAGGGTAGCTTTCAGTCGGAGGCTAGAGCCCATGTCTTGATAATGTGGGCTTGCCACTAGATGAGATGGTACTGTTGGCACCATGCCTGCCCTAACCAAAGTACTTGCTATAACCGCACATGACAATGCTCTGGCTTGAGCAATCTGTCCTTTGTGCACAATCCGTTTTTGTTATTGTGCTTGGCCATTGCCCGACGTGTGTGTGATTGTCAGTTCCAAGCTTTGTAAATGGTGCCTGGGGGCCCCTACCCATGGATGAGCACACGTGGGTCTTTTTGCCTGAAGCCAAGCCCTTTAACAACTGCTTGCAATGCTCATTGTGCACGAAATGGCCGTGATCTGCCCTGGCCTTGTGCGTCTGTTTGTGCCTTTGTGTGGCATTGCCACTGCATGTTTGCTACAAGTGCTCCAGACCGCTGTTCTGCAGCACGTTGCAAAATATCATAACAACCAGACCCTGGGAGTGCTACGGTCAGTATCCTGGCTCCCACGCACACGGTGAAGAAAAAAGCATGTTTACGTTAGTACGTCTAACAATTTAGATGAATATCTGTACATCACCTAGCTTGCCCCCTCTTGGTGCGCTGCATGATCTTGCCCTGCATCGATGCGTAGCATAAAGTCGTGGAGTAACAGGGAGAATGATGGGTGTTGCCGCCTTTTTGATGGTTGCTGTGGTTCGAACAGGCACATTTACTAGGACAGATCTCCCCTGCCGTGCAGCCAATACAGACTGGTGACTTGTTCTGGTTGCCGAGGGCCTAATTAAGGCCATGCAGTGCACAAGGTGCCAGGCATTTGGCCAACTTGTTGGGTCAATGACGGTAGCACCAGGTACGTGTTTGTCAGTATCCAGTAGGGGGAGTCTTGACGTTGCTTCACAGTAACTAGAACTTGTACTTTAAATTGACTGGTCACCTGGATAAAACTGCCAGTAAGTCTTAGGCTGCGTCAACCAAGGGGGCATCTGATCTTGGTTACACCAGGAGGGAGATTGCAGGACCTTTTACTTACGACTTGGATAGGTCGCTACTGTTCATGCTTATGCTGGTAGCTAAATGTGCTCAGGCTGGGAAGAGCCAGGCAGCACTGTTTACACACTGCACCAGTCTCGCTGTTTAAATTGGAGTCTAGCAGGGGGGTGAGTAATGGTTCTTGTTTGGCCTTTCCCTGTAATTGAACTCTGCTCACTCGGTTAGTAGCACACTAATGCACGTCTTGAACACACATGGCAACACACAACCACACTGCATGACTGCACGCGCAGAGGGGACGAACTCTCCATTCCAGAAGAGCAGTTGTGCAAAAGAGCGGAAGGAAATGCAGTCAAGTGGGGGTAGGGGGGGGGTGTTACTGAGCAGGGGTTGAAGAGCGGGCAGTGCTGACGGATTTGCATTGTTTTTAGCGACTAATGCTGCTGAAGATGCGTTGTCTCGTTCTGTCTAACCGGGATGTGTCTAGAAAGTGAGGATGCCTGTAACTGACTGGCAATGCACGAACATTACCAGCTGGACTGTTTGCCAGTCGGCGTGCCTAGAAGGCTGGCAGGTTACTATGGTGAAGTTTCAAATCTAATGCGGGTGACCCAAGCATGTAGCGTTGTAGGCTTTACATAGCCTATAGCTCAAAGGGTTGAAGTCGTCTGGCTTTGCCAGAGCACGTGCCGATTGAGGTTTTTTGCAAGTTGCCACACAGAATGTGTCCATACTTGTGTGGACGTGATGGGGATTAAAAACAAAAGTGACCTAGGTGTCACCTGATCCCGAGGTGGCCCAGTAGTGTTAGAATAATTTTTTGGTTATTGATAAAGAAAAACTGACCCCGACTGGATAACTGAGCCGAACACGGCTATTGTTAGTTCTTGCTAGCTAGGAGGGGGTTTATGTGAGCGTTTTCACTTGCCCAAGTGCTATATAATAGACATCGTGCTGGGAGGCCATTTACCGTTCTCACAGCCATTGCCTCAACCTTTTTGTGGAGTGGCTTTAATGCCAACTAATCCTGTTCCAAGATCTTCCCTATCCACTGCTGGATGAAGGCCATTTCATTTTCCATATGGGTGGTTTATCCAAACATCACCAATGCTGGTAGATGAAGGGGGGTTGATACAAGGTGGGTGCCTGGAATGCTGCAGATATCTCCTGCTTGTAATTGAACTTGTTAGGTTCATATTGTGCCAACGCCAAAGAATCTGCTCCACATTTTTAGGCACGAAAACAATATTGTTTAATGTGTGGATCATTCAAGTACTGCAACGCTTGTAGTTGGGCATGCACAACTTGCTATTGGTGTGCCAGCTGGCATGTTTGGCTGAACTTGCTGTATGTGTAGCTAGCACGCTACAATATTGCTTGGCATGCTGTTCCACAAACCCTGTGACCTCCCCCATTTTTTTTCAAATGGCTGCTTTCAGCCAATGGACAAGTGTCCTAATGCATTTGGGCCTCCCGTCGGTGAAGTCTGCGTACTTCATGCGATTATGTAAACATTGCTGCTGGACAGCCGAAAGTGGCTGGCCTAGTTCTGACCACCCACCTTTTTGTGGCCTTATTCGTTTGCCAAACGCTTGCCCTAGCATCCCTTAAGACTAGTTACAAGGCATCTACATCCACTTTACACATCGTGGATGGCTCTTCCTGCAGAGAATTTGCCTCCTTGCTGAAGTGTTTTTTCTGCATGAGCAGGACATCGGGCATCCTTAGAAACTAAGGGATATTTGACACCCCCCCCCCCACATTCCTGAGGCCCTGCCTTGTACAGGGTGGGGTCTGGGAATTCTTAGAACCACAAAGACTAACATTGGCGAATATTGATTTTTAGCCCTTGTCCACTGCTGCTTGAAAGCCCAGGGTTAGTTCTAGTTGGTAAATGCCCCTTCCTAAAAGTAATTTAAGCTTCTAATATTTTGCATTGTTTTGCTCCATGTTCAAATTGGTGCCCTTAAAGTTCAGAACCTTTGGAAAATTATCCAAATATAAATAATGCTCTAATATAATGGTGCTTAAGCTGGGGAACTTGACAATTGTGCTGCATTTAGGACCCAGTGGTGAGGGTTGAGATATGCCCTTGGGAGAGATTGGGGATGTGAAGTGCATGGTGGGAAGAGGGCAATAGACGTGGTGGGGGTGTGAGCGGAAGACCCCAGTGCAGTTGGTAGCCAGCATCTTTTGTTAGAAAAGTTTTGGTCCCTTGAGGGGATAGCCCAAGGGACCAGTTGGCCCTCTACGTGCACGTTGTCAGGTCGTGTACCAGACTCCACCATTATGACTATCCGTTGTCTGACTTTAATGATCCCCAGACGCAAGACAAATTAAAATAACCCAAAATTATTTCACATGGCGTCCCACCCTGCGTCATGTGGTTTTTTAGCTTTGTCCGTAACGGATAAGGGTGGGGAGGGGGGGCTGTCTGGCGTGGCCAGGGCCTTTTGTGCTGTAGCCAGCGTGCTCTTGCCTGGCCTGAGCACATTCAGGATCACAACCTTTGACATGACCCCTACATTGATCGAGTGAGTCGCCCTCTTTGCTTTTAAGAACTCTACAAAGGTTGACCCCCCCCCTCCCAAATGCACGTGAGTAATTGGATGCTTGCAATGTTTTTCCCATAAAGCAGCCGCTGTTGTGCCCTGCCTGCACTGGGATTCTAGTAACGTTTGGTTCATGTCCAGGCCATGGCCAACATTGATGGCAAATGGTATTCAAACGTTAGGCCTTCCCTAGCTTCACCTTGGAGCAACTGTTCATGTGTGCACAGCAATGACCGGTGGTTGGTGTTCTGTCTTGCCACCCTCTGCTATTGTGGCTCTGACATCACTTAAAATGCACAATCATTTGGGAATTTTAAATTGAACACATTTTGGCCCTTGTAATTTTCGAACCATTGCCCTGCTTTAATCTCAACTGGAGGCCCATTATACAGCCCAACATTATGACTTGCCTGATTTGGCCATTTAATTTTTGTTCTTGACATGGCATAAGTTAAACTTGCATGGCTTGCAAATTGAAAAATAAGTGGTTTTTATTTTTGCTGTACAGCCTTGAATCCTACGATTCTGTCCAGGATTTTACAAATTCTAGTAATGCAAATTTTATCAAAGAAATTTTTACACTATGTAACCCAACCGTGCTAATAAAGTGCAACTCCACGTAATTGCATCGACTCTGCTGCTGACGGATTCATCAACTTTTAAACTGAAGGTCTGACTTCTGTTTCACGTTTGTTTTGTGGACAGGATGCGGTGAGGGATGTCCACGTGAAGGGGTTGATGTACAAGATCATCGAGGAGAATCTTGGTACGTATGCACGTGGCTAAAAGTCCCTTTAGCCCACATGGGCTAAAGGGGAAGTAATTATAGTGAGCACCTAATTGGAGGGGAATGAGGCGACCACACCCAGCCACCTTTGTCTCCCACTGTGCCATACCAGGTTGTCCAAGAGGGCCCAAGTCTAGTGGGTATTTGCCGGATGGTGATTGCTATTGGTACTGTGTTCTCGTAGCCTGTTTTGTAGTGCAGTACATTTTCTTATGGCTGCACAGATACTCGCCATGGTGCATAAACAGACGAAGATGGGTAGACACTTGTAGGACTTAACACCGACATACTGAAGGCCACATTTTGGATTAAGTGGTGTTGATGCTTTAAGAATCTGCTTGATGGGCAGCTGTTGACTTTGCCGGCTCGCTTGCCATGTGGAATTTCAAATCCTCGCAGGCAGTTGTGACGAGCCCATCCAACCAGTGCTACTTAACATGTACATGCATGTGTTTAACATGACCATTGCCTGCATACGCTAGAGATGGGTTCGTGAATTGCACAAAGGTTGTGAAATTCCCCCGTGAGCATTGGGCAGCATACCTGAGGTTGCTAGATGGCATTAAAGAATGTGAACTAATCTCCATCTGTACGGAGTTGCCCCATAGTGGATGTGTGCTTTCTGTGGTTGCTCTGTTCTGCTGAAGTAAGTGTCAATTTTAATTAGCTGAACATTTTAAAAAAATTGACCCAATGCAGCAGGCAAGCCCTCCCTCGAGCATCCAAAGATGCTAGCTTCTGGATAAAAAAAACATTCCAGTGTCCATACCACTACCAGCCTGCATTCACCCCCTCTGCATGCCATCTCAGCCTAATTGCTGTCACCCCCTCTCACCCTTTTCACTCTCCCAGAGGAGTACATCCAGAGTGGGGAGGAGACCTATGCTGTCCTCCAGAAGCTCGTGAGCTACGGCAAGAAACTCTTCCTCATCACCAACAGCCCGTTCAGCTTTGTGTGAGTTATTCTCCCTAGGTTTGAGGTTTGGCTCTTGCCACCCCCAGGCACTGCAACTACTCAAATCACCAACCTACATTTAATCGGGGCCATTGATGGTTATTTTCTCGGCTTTGCCCAAATAAGTCTGCAAGATGACACACCCATGATGGGAAAAACAACGTCTGAAATAAATCGGGGGTGGGAGTTGTGGGGTGTTCCATACCTGGTACCCAATGTCTCCTGAACGAATTGGAGACTGGTGCCAGGAAAGCTCGTCCCATCGCTTCATCCTGTTCCAGCAGCCGGGGACAGAGGTTGGGCCAAGTCGAATTTGTTCCATCTTGAAACAATGACCATGGTGGTGCTCTGTCGTGTTGGTGCCGTGCATCCAATAGTTTGTTATTTTCACATCCACCCTGCGTTTTTATGAGCCCTGGGAAGCGGATGCAGAGCCAACCGATGCCAAAACCACTTTTTTGGAAGATTAATTTCTTTCCAGGTCATGTGGACTGGAGTAGGTGATGTACAACCCGTGGCCATGACACTTGTAGGAGTGGTTTACTTTATATGAAAGTCCCCTTGAAAATGGTGCTGGTGCCAAGCCCCCAATGGACCCCATGTTTAATGGAAGTGATTGAATTCCGATTTTAAAAGATCTGAAACTTAAGTGTCCATGGGTTATGTATTTAGTACCAAATGCCATTTATAGAACACTGCCCTTTGCACCAGATTAACACGTTTTTTGATGATGTCGGGGCACGGAACCAGTTGACTTTAGACCGGAAATTGACCCAGAGGGTATTGGTTCCTCACTGTTTTTACGTGGTGTAGACAATCTCGAACTTTTGCAGCCTTGTTTTTAAGGGCAAACCCTTGTCTCTGACCAAACTCTCCCCATCCTTGGCTCTGCAGCAACAAGGGAATGCTGCACATGGTGGGCGAGGACTGGCGCGACCTGTTTGACGTCATCATCGTGCAGGCTGAGAAGCCAGCCTTCTTCACGGACAGTGCCAAGTATGGGTGCCCCCTCACCTCCTCGCCCCCCTGAATGCACTTGTCAAGTTGGGCTTTGTGCCGCTTTTTAGCACGTGGCACACCAGTGTTGGTAGGACATACAAATAACATGCTGGGAAATACCCGAACCTACTGTGCTTGGTATTCAGAGATGGCAGTGTGAAGTGGGCTTGCCCTACAGTAAAGTGCTTGGACCAACCAGTTAATGGGAAAGTCCATGTGCGTGCTTAAAAAATCAACTTCTGGTACGTAGCCAGCCATGCACCCCAAAATCTTGCCGTTCAACTCGCGCTATGCAGCCAGTGTGGACTCTGGTTTCTTCTCCCCATTGAGGTTGTGATCTTGATCAACTCCCAACCCTAAGCGTGACCATGAATAATGTGGAGACCCGAGGTGTGTGACTGCTTGTTTTGGATCGGTAAGGCTGCGCTCACTGCCAAATGTGACCAGCATCGCAATCCAAACAAACAACCCTGGAACATTGCTTTAAAACTAATTTAATCTTACCACTTGGGTTCTACAACTCGATCCTGACTCTAAACATGGGTGTGGCACACGTTGCCGGGAACCTGTTTATTCTTTGATCCCCTTGCATCAATACTGTCATTTAACTCCATCCTGCCATGTGCTTCCCCAGTGCTGTCGGTTTCCAAATGTTTGCAGTCATTTCCATAACCAAGCTTGGTCATGTTTTGGTGTAATGCATATTGGCACTTTGTCAACACCGTTAATAATTTATTTACGAGGTTGTTGCCATGCTTGAGATTTAATAGGTAAAAAAACCTGGCTCAACGTTATCTGCTTCATGCTGACCTATGAAAGCCACTTTAATCTCAATCCAAAGTCGTGTGCCACTAGCTTTTTTTGTAACCAGTACACGGTCAAACCTCTTCTGCTGCCTCCATGTCGGGATATAAATGTTTTTGGAGTCTTAAACCCAGCTGGAGTACAGTCTGTCTTCTGCATTGGATAAACACTTTTGCAACTATCCTGTGGCCTAAACTTTAAGTGTACATAATCCCAGTGTTCCCCTGCTATTGACGTCCCTGCTTGTCCATAGCATGGCAAGCTTGTGCTCATGCTTTCTCTACTAAGCAAATACCTGTTCCCCCCCCCCCACCACCCCTTGCTTCAGCTGGGGGCAACGGTGGAAGGAAACAGTTTAAGAGCCAATGTGCTGACCTTGCAGGAAAGCAAAATCCCTCGCTTGGCACAACACCTTTTTACCTTGACCCGCCTGCTGGGGGGTGGGACGGGGGCTGAACAAGAAGGGAGTAACCTGAATGAGAACCTCCTGGCTCCAAGTGTGTGGTTTGTGGCTTATGAGGGAATGGAGCTGTGACGGTGAATGCTGTCGCTGCAGGCACTCCACCTGACCTGCCCAGAGATGCATTCTGCCGTGTCAAACCACTACCAGGATGAAGGCCTGCCCCACCCAATAGCATGTGACCTGGATCCCACATTCTGTATTTTGGCATTGCTAACACAGCAACTACAAGAATCTCAAACATGGCCATTTTACCTCCTTTCACATTTTTGCATTTGCCCAGACTCATTGGACATCAATTTGACTTTCGTGATGGCTTATTCCTGGTTGTAAACAGTACCCTGCTTGCAGAACTCTGGAAAAACAACCATTTTTGGGTTCCATGTTTTCATTTTGGCCATGGTGCAGTATTCACGTCATTTATCTCCTGCGTTCCTGCAGGCCCTTCCGCCGCCTCGACGACTCTGGCTGCCTCCAGTGGGACAAGATCGACAAGCTGGAGAAGGGCGAGATCTACCAGCAGGTAAAACTGCCCATAAGCTACAAACACTTTTGCTGTGCTGGTTTTGGGTGAAATCTTCGATGCTGCATAACTTGGTGTTCGGATGCTGTTTCTGGCACAACTTTCTCCTATTCTGGGCTTGACTATCTTTTTGGGGCTTTAGTTTTGCTCTCCTAGTCTTGCACATGTTACACCGTGTAAAATTGAGGTAGCTTGAATTGGAACTGCTAAAATGTTTTAACTTTCCAATAACTATACTGGTTTTCCTAAGTGTCTGCATTAATCTCGACCTGGTTAAGATTACTGTCTCTGCCTAAATTTCAGATCTGAGTTCTTAAAAAGCCCTGCTCTAAAAAGTAGTATCCTGGGACAAATTCCAACGACCCCTTACCTTGCAGAACTAGTTCTCACCTTGAAGGCATTTTGTCAGATTCTGCATGTTTGTCCCTTTAGAGGCTCATGTGCCAATTTCTGAATGGCATAGAACAACCTAAATTGGAGGCTTGCGTTGCCTCGCGACGGCGGCCATGGCCATTGTCCAAGGTCATTTGGAACGTGGCAGTGACCACTTTACAATCGTCTCCTGCATGTGCACTGGGCATGCTGTTGGCAACCAGCGCCTGGCATGTGGATTTGGTGGGTGGGCTTGTTTACAGCTGGCAGCACAAGGCCTTCACTTGTAGTGATGGATGAGATGTTTTTGTGGTGGGGCAAATGAGAGGTCTGCACAAACCAAATGGGTGTTCACTTTGTCACCCTCTGTTTTAAGGATTTGCACGATGCTGTCAACCTCGATGGTCAAATTCAATGATTAGCACTTTGAATCGTTAATTTGTGGCCAGTTTGTTCCATGCCTAGCGGCAGGGCTTTATTTTTGCCATGTCTGGGTAGGGTGACCTGCGAAATTTATCCCTAAACCTGGCATGCCACGTCCAACATTTGCAGGATGGCTGGTGCTGGCACATGCCATGTTCTACTAGTGAGCCAGACGTATGAGACATAGAATCCAGTGAGGTTTGGGTGGAATTCGGGTTGGCTCTAACCAGGGATTTAATTTCGGCTAGGATTTTTGTCCTGTTCAGCGACCCCTGCAATGCTCGCAAAGAAATTAATCTCCTGCCTAGCAACGTCCATATGCTGCAGCCTCCGCTGTCTGATTTTTTTTGTTTGGACCAGCAATCTGATGGTGCATGCAGCCTTGGGGATGGGTGTGGGGGAAGGGAGATGAGCGAGGTTGACAGGGCGGTGTGTCTGTCGGGATGAGGCTGCCTACGTGCAAGCTTGCACGTGCCGCCCCAGACACTGCCCCACCAAACCCCCCCGATTTTAAGGGGGAGGTGGCAGTCAAAGCCATTGCCAGCCCCGGTCACCCATCGTTCCCGTGTGCCTTGTCGCACTGCGGAGAGGCAAGAAAATAGCGTTACAGGGGCTGGTCTTTAAAAAAAATGTAAACCTTAATTGCATATACACGATGCATGTGGCTGAGCCCAGGAGGTTTGGGTCCTTGGGTGTCAAATATGGGCCGTTGTCCATAATTAACATTGTTGCAAGGGGAACCTGGATGCTTTGTTTACACTCCTCGATTAGCTACTACGTACGTGGCAACATTTGCATACTGCTTTATCTTCCACGCTCCTGATAAAAAGTTTTTATCAAGCTACCACCAGTGACTTTGCAATCGCTGGAGCTAAATCGGCTGGTATATAGTTGGCACAAAGCGTGTAGTGTGGGTCAATGACTGAAAGACCACATTGATATTCATGGATGTGGCTGCGGTGTTACGCAGTGATTCCCCCCCCCCCGTCTGCGAATGGAACATTCTGGTCGCTGCCTGACGACAAACGTCGTGTTGCCGGATTCGAGGTTTTTGCCTTCAGATTGGGGGGGAGTGTGCACGGCTGGACTTCCAGTGTGAACTCGACAGATTTAATTCCATCCTTTGCTTTGGAGGGACGGTGGTAGAACAGTTGGGTCTGGCTTTTTCATTTACTAAACTCAGGTTCACATTAAAATTCATTAGTTAAAACATTCATAATCTGGAAGTATCGTCCTTCCAAATCCCCCCCCGACTTCCTGCCCAAGGCCATGTGTTTTTGTTAGCAGCCCTGCGCTGTTTACGGAACGTAGTCCGTAAGGGCGGGGGAAGTTGAAGCGGCGTGTTTACGTGATTTAAATTTAATTATTGCTGCTGTTGCGTAAGGAGGGAGAGGGTGATCTTGGAAAAAAGTCTCTGGCCTCGCTGGCATCAGGACGACGATTTATTAGATTAAGAGCCCGTGCGCTCGGTAGTGTTGGTACTGGCCACGTGAACACTTTCCCCAACATGCGCCAAAAAAAATCGGTAGTGAAATTAATTCAAGATTATTTAGTTGCGTTATGGTTTCCATGAAAGCTTGAACTTTTTTTTTAATGGGCGTGCTAAATTTTTCCAAATGCACTCTGCAAACTGGCCACGTGTTGCGTTTTGAGTTTTCTTGACTTCACAATTGGAAAAGGCCAGGTTCAAACCCCCCGAATAGGGTCTGAAGTTGCTTTTTGGGCGGCGACAATGTGTTTTATCCTGTGGCACCACTGGCCTCTATCGGCCAGACTTGGAATTTCCACTGGCTGGGTGTCTCGTACAGAAGTGCTACCCCCCCTCTCCAATTCTTGCCTGTTTTTGAACCGCAACTCCATGTCGCATGATACTGCCACTCCTGTGCAGTTTGAGACCCTTGGCCTTTTAACACGGCTGGTAAGGCTTGTGTTTTTGAAACATGGTCCACGTCTTGCCTGTTTTTGGACATTTGCCACGAAAACATTCTATTGCCAGGATTTAAGTTCTTAACCTGCTTGGTGGCATTCATCCACCACCTAAACTGGTAGCCAACGGTTTAAAAACCTAATTCCATTAACTGTATCGGTGGTAAGCAAAGTGCGTAATTTGCCTTCTCTATCAGGTTATGGCTTGATTTTATGTCTGCAAATTATTGCAGAATATTCCCCAGTAGCGTGGTGTTAATTTGATTTCAATCCCTTGATGTCGTTTAATTGGCTAAATGTGCTAACTGTAATTGTTAGGTTACAAAGCAATCCACAAGTTCGACTTGAGCCAGGGGATTCGTTTGGCCGGCAAAAATTTGCATAACTGATTTGCAAAAAACATGGGCATAGCATTTTAATGCTGTACAAAACGTAACCCATTTGGCTTTTTGGGCAATGGGTGGGCCGTTGTACCAGTGATTGGCGTTCGACTGCATCGCACCCATGGGAAGAGGCTCTGGTATATACCTTTAGAACTCTCCCGTCTGCAAGATACCTGAGGAACAACTGCTGTACAGTGCACTGTCTACTCCTGTGCAATAACCACATTGCTTGTCCTGGCATATCCTGATATGTGGCTGCTTGGTGGATGGAAAATGGTTGATCGTTCACCAACTTTATACTCTAAAGGGTTCAACCAGCAGCACTTGACAGAACCATGGCATTTGTAATGTTCGCTGACATGCAAGGCACCCCTGTAGCCAAACGGCAGTGGTGGTACACCTCCAACTGACCTTGGGTGTCTGCTTATGCCCCCCCCCCCCCACCAGGGTAACCTTTACGAGTTTCTGCGTCTGACTGGCTGGGTCGGCACCTCTGTCCTCTACTTCGGAGACCACATCTACAGCGACCTTGCCGTGAGTAGTGTTTGTGCTCCATGCTCGGCTTATTGCACCTTCTCAACGAGAGGTGCCTCCAGTCTTGACCCTTTCAGGAGATTCCTGCCAAGGTGCACTCAGGGCTGGGATCTCAACAGTTTTTTTCAGCGTTATGATATTTTTAGCTCTAACTTTTTGTTATGGGAGGAACTGAAGAACCTCATCCATGCAGACTAAAGGAGGAAATACACACTGAAGCACCCAACATTGTACCCCAAGCTCTTTAAAATCTTAAATCCCCCTTAACCAAGTTTGCGAGAGGTCCATGATGTAACAACATGTTTTTTTAGTTGAGCTATTGTGGCACCCCAACCCTTGTGTTGTATTGTTTTAAATTCTATGCTTGTGGTGTGCAGCAACTTGTAGAAGCTTCAACGTAGAACTTAAGGACACGATCGTGATTTAAATTGCCACCAAAATGACCTACTGTAGCCACCAATGTATTAGTCATGCAATTGTAGATTGGGGATGTCCTAATCCTTGATCTGCAGCCTGTGCCCTGCTTCCAGTGACAGTGGCCACAAACCCACACCACCCAAGCACGTGATTTACATCTCTACCTACCACAACTTGCTCATCCAATCCTGCTGTGTCTCCCGTGCCGACCCTTGGCGGTGTTGCCAGGACCTGACCCTGCGTCATGGCTGGCGCACGGGTGCCATTGTTCCGGAGCTGGAGGCGGAGATCCACACCATCAACGGGCAGGAGTACACGGACGCCCTCACCTGGCTGCAGTCTCTCACCGGGCTGCTGGAACGCATGCAGGTGAGGCATGGGTTTGCTGTGAAGGCAGTGGCGATTGCTGGAGGTCTGCTGTCCTTTTGGGGCTTGTAAGTAGTGGAGTTGATGGCCGGCTGTTGCCTTACTAGTCCTAAAATGTTCATGTTTGCATGGCACATGGTTGTGTTTTAAACAGACATAGTGCTAGACACCGCATGGTACCGTAGCAAATGCCGAGTGCTTTGGACCAACTGGAGTGCTCGTTCCAAGTGTACTCTAGGACACGTACCACTTGCTATAGTCCCACATTATCTAGCCCCCTATCCCCAAATGTGTAACTTGGCACGAGGTACAGGTTTGGCTTTGGTCTGTCCAGAATCTTATCTCGATAATACGATTTGGGAATCTTGTTTAATAACGAAATTACCATTCCAAATGCCTTGCTTCCATTTTGTTTAATTGCTGTTTTGCCTAGATGTTGTGCTCTGCATTACTTTAAACCTATGTGCATTCCCATACGTGCTGTCGCATTTCACCTTGATACAATGCCAATACTGTTTGTAACATGTGATTGTCTGCACACAGATGTACCGTGGCCAGGAGGCTCAGGTGATCCTGACTAAGTGGATGGCAGAGCGAGAGGAACTCAGGTGAGGAGAGCAGTGGTCCAATGTAATGTGAATTTTGGGTGACGCTGGCATTCAAACCGCGTTGTATGAACTTTCAATCTGTGCCAACCTGTGTACCACCACTCAATGCTTATCCCAAGACCAAGGAAAATTCCACCTTGCCATACTGTGCCACCCAAGTTTTATATAGTAGACTATAAATGGCATTGTGGAAAATGACTTCTATTAACCCCATGACCAGAGGATTCTTCCTGAACATGGCTAATACCAGCAGCCTAAACTTTTTTTATTCACCACATCTTGACCATAAACAGATGTGCATGAAGTTCACTCAAACGTGCACCTTTTAAGGTAATTAAAACGACTGACTAACATTTAACCTTAGCATTTTGATTCGGTATCAAACACTTGCCATGTTGGAACGTTGTCCAGTGCATTACTTCACACCTGCCCACAACCTTGATTTTAACTTGTCCTGAGCAGTTCATCACCCTCGGCTCTGGGAAGCGTCTAAAATGGCCCTTTACTCTTCCATAGGATCCTTAAGCACCTTTTGTCGGTACCAGGAGGCGCGTTTCCACAACTAGGCATCTCTAACTTTTTATACCTAGATTCCCTCCCCATTTATATACATCCGTTGCCGTTGCCTCCTGCAGGGAGCTCTTCCTTGCATTTTTTACAGCTGTGCAACCTGCCCAGCAAGTTAACGTTTTCATTTATTTTGTGCACCCCCCCCTCCACCATTTTGTAGATCCAAGACCAAGAACCTCTTCAATCCGTACTTCGGCAGCATCTTCCGTACGTTCCACAACCCGACCTACTTCTCACGCCGCCTATCGCGCCTTGCTGATGTGTACATGGCGTCGGTGAGCTGCCTCCTCAACTACGACATGGGCTACACCTTCTACCCACGCCGCATGCCACTGCAGCACGAGTCTCCCCTGTGGATCGACCAGCTGTGTACCGGCTGCTGTCAAGACTCCCTACCTAACCGAGATGTCCAACATCCGTTGAGTGCCTCTCCTCTAAGCGTGCGCCCCCACCACCCCTCCCCACTTCCACCCAGATTCTGTCTCTGGATGTGCTATGCCACTCTCTTGCTGTTTCCCCCCCCTTCCCTGGCTGCTTGTCGGACCTGGTTGGGTGTTTAGGGTACACTTGAGTAGTCGGCAGGTTGTTGGTTAAAATCTGGCAATGGTCTCATTTTGGGGTGGGTCAAGTGTAACATCTGTCCTTGACTCCAATGTTGGCCCATGACCAAAATGTTTGAAAGGAGGAGATGGGTAGTTTGTGGAGGAGGGAGTGTGTAGTGAGTGTTTCTGCCAGAGATGGCCTGACTCGGGTGCTGGGCAAAGGAGATGTGCTTTGGCAGGTGATGGGAGCGAGTTGGTGATGCTGATGAATTGGAGACATTTGATTAGTCTGTCTCGTTGGTGCTTTGGTACAGAACTGTTTGACCTGGGTGGGTTTTGGATGGGAGGGAGAAGATTGCTTTGCGCAGTAACCATCAACTCTGACATCGTCGTAGCCAGACTGCATGGCGAGGTCCACCTGGCTTCAACTAGAGCGATTTAAACATTTCCTGACCTCTATCCCTAACCTCGTACAACCTTATCCCTAAATTCTATCCCCCATCTCTACAAGGGTTTTAATTCGCGATCACATTAACACGTTGGCAAATTTTTCAGGTAGCTACTTAACCATTTGGCTTTTTTGTACTGCACGCTCCTAATGTGCTTGGTCTGTGGTGGCTGTCGAGCCATGTGGCAGGTCTTGTACGGTCCCCCGGCACGAGACAAAGGTGCATGCAGGACGCTATTTTTCAAATCTCAATTTTTATTTGGCTTAACTCGACCCAACATTCCATGCCGCGTGCGTTTTTTGCTTTATCCACCTTAACCCCATCCCCCCCCCATATCGTGATTTTATTTTTGACGTAACAACCTTCATCTCTTTACCCCCCTTCATTCCTCTCCTGCCCGCATGTCAAACGTTCTGTTTTTTAACTTTTTGTAGTGTTCCCATCCGTAGTATCTTAGTCTGTGGTGGCAACAGCAGTAGTGTGATTTTTACCCCCCCCCCCAAGGAATTTTCGTCTAACTGCCGCTGTGGTCGTCTTTGGATGGGCCGTGAGACGCACAAAGGTGTAGCCGACAGGTGGCACGAAGCCTCCCTCGTCCCCCTAATTGACTGCCAAACATGGGTGGTGACGAAATTCCAGAACCTTTATCAATTTTAGAAAAAATCTTAACTTTCACATTTCCGTAACTTTTTTAATTCATTGTTTAGCTGGCAAAATTGTGTTTGTAGTTTTTTTAGAACGGGTTACACTCTGGGTTCGACCCCAATTTTGGGACCTCAAACCTATGACCTGTACCTGCTCCCTCCCGTTTTAAACTTTCATATTTTGTACGCTTAGTACCCCTCGTTCACTAGTTGACGTGGTGATAAACCAGAATGAGATGAAAGTGTTTATCGTAATGACTGCCTTCTGAAATTAATATCGAAGTGTTTTTATTCACAGGTATCCAGATTATTAATGTATCCGTGATGAACATCTGATCACTTTACACAACTACCAAATGGTGTTCGTTTTTACCATCTGACATTACTGGAACCTACATGCTAATTCACCTGCTAGAAAAACTAACCCAGTCTGCATACCTCCAATGTACCATCCCTACCTGAAATATTGCTGAGTCTAACACCTTTGCACCGGCATACCCAAATGTGCGTGTTATAGGTCCATGTTAACTGGGTGCCTTCTGGGTTTAAGTTGTCTGACAGCAAATGCTAGAAACCCCCCCGTGTTATCCCACTCATGCCGTGAATGTTTACAATGGATGTATTACCTGAAACCTCGCAGGATCTATCGACAACCGTCGTTGTGTAACTTTGAAGACACGTTTGCAACTTTTTAAATGACTTGAAATTGTCTGCGGCAAGATGAGGCATTGCTGCCGTAGGTGGCCAAAATGCATGCAGATGAGCGAAGATGAGAATTACAGGGTAATGACGATGCGAGTGATTTTTTTTGTAAAGATGTAGTTCACGTGTCCATCTGGGTGACTCAATGTGGTGGCTGCTACGTGGCCGAAGCGGTGTTGTCGTCGTGACCGCTTTGTGGCCAGTAATTTTGTAGACTTCTTGTGCGCAGCCGTCTTGCTGTTATTGTGTCGTAGATCGTTGCCTGCCTAACATACTCGTCAATAGCCTGCGCGTTTTTTAATCCCCCGTGGTCTTTCCCATACCAAATCTATTTGACCACGATTCCCAGCGCAAGGTTTGTCACGGAACGAGGGCCCCAATGCCAGGGAATTGTGTAATCTCGTCCACGACCAATGATGCTGCCCTTTGCGCGCTTTAACAATCTGACATGCTTTACCATTGAACCATTCTAATGGCGATGCCCTAGAACTTGTCACCTCGGTTCGCTCGCCGTTTTGGTAAATTTATTTTTAATGGGCAAGCGCAAACTTTGGCCGTTTTTTTGCCTGGCCTTTATGCCAGATTTGGGCAGACTTGTTTCGTGTCTGCCTCCCATGCCCACAAACTCATTTTCCCACCTATGAAATTGCTACCTTTTTCCATTTAGCACCACCCTGCCAACACCGAGCTATGGCAGACTGGTGCACGGGTAATTTTAAAATCTTGACGGCATGGATTCAACTGCTGCCAAAACTCCAGGCTGCTCAAAATCCCACGGCTTGTGACAACCCGTGCTACCCATGTGGTGCCTTTGGCTGCACATTGGAGGTGATCCACCTAGCCTGGAAGGCAGCGGAAATTGTCGGCTTCGTTCCTGGTGCAGTGGTGGGCAGACAAATGTGCCTGCGGGCCCTCGTGACGGTGTTTGTATGCAGCGTGCTCCGACGGCTGTGGTTTTGGTGACGCGTTTATATCTCGCGGTGTCGCGATGAGCGGTGATTGAACTGTAAACGGGGCGACGTCCAGAACCGTATGTGTCTCGCTTTTTTTTTTCTCCCGGGCTTTCAGTTCATCTCGTTTTTGGCTTTCGTTTGTAGCTAATACATGGTGGATTAGGGCTGTTCCATACGCAGTAACTGTACACGTTGCAGGTACTGCCGACCAATTCGACTTTTGGAATAATTATGGCAGTGTATTTTGTCCTCGTGCTACCGCAGTGGATTTTGTGGCACGCCGCACTTGTAATGCAGAGATCGCCGGTTTTTGATTTTTCAAAAAAATCTTCTCCCCAAGTTAAATTTACCAAATTTTTAAATACTTCATTTCCTTCCCCCCCCGCCCCTCCCCTTGACTCTGTCTCCCTGAAGTGTGCCCCCCAGCAGTAGTGAGTAATGTGCAGTGCCACTTTTTAGCCCCTCCAGTCACAACAGCCCTGTGGATTTTGCGAGGCCCGAGGAGATTTTGGTTTGCAGCGTCGACGCCCCGTGGAGTCTTTTGTTGTTTCTCGTTGAAGCTGTTACGCGACTTTCATTCAATAAAGCTGGTTTTCATTCTCTCTTGGCCGTGGTGTTGTCTCCCTCGCGTGGAAAAATATTTGCGGTTTTTAAGTGCCGCTCTAATTTATGCATGAGACCATTGTACATGGGTTAACGTAATCTTCCGAGTCGGTATAACCCAACCATTGTGGGTTTGAGTTGCTTAATGTAACCTTATTCGCAGTGTCCAAATGTAGTCGCAAGAGAACCTTGGCATAAGGCTTGCTGTTTATACACACCATGCCCTGTTTTCACTATCAGATGTACGAAACCAAAACTATCTGATTTTTGTACTCCAACCTGTCTCGCATTACCACTCAAGATTGCATTTTTAACGAACTGGTCCAGGTCCCGCAGATCCTCGGTCTCTTGGCTTCGTCTTTAAATTTTTTTTTACTTGCATTCTAAAACTTTAACAGGAAGTAAGCAAACGCGTTTTTCAGGGATCACTAATTTATACCAGAGACTATCTTGACCGATTACTCAAACGTGCTGAAATAAGTAGATGGCTTCCTTTCGATAGTGTTTTATGAAAGCTACCTATTTAATTCTGGGATCAAATTTTCTAGTTTTAAGTGCGTTAGACAAGTGTTCCACTCAACGTTGTCGGACCTGGAATCTTTTTTCCATTTGCCTTAAATTTTTATTGTAAACCTTGGTAGAGCTTAGGACCTTCGTAACCAACTTTTTGATTCCTAAATATTGGCACCAAATGGTTTGTGTGCTCCAACACGTGCGCATAATCTATTCGACGTTTGGCTTGCTTGGGTGCGTTGACCTTATGGTGCGATACCTGCAGTCACAATAGCTCCAGTTGTTAGTTCCAGCCCTGGGTCGAGGCTGACGTCATTCCTCTCCGTCTGCCGCGCGCGTCCTGCCGCTAGGAGGCAGTCTGACTTCACAGCGCCGTCAACCCCCTCGCCCCCCGGCCGGCTGCCATCCAGCCATCCTCGGTCCGGTAGCGAGGGCCACCAAACACCCAGCGACCTCTGCAAGGAGTTGCAATGAGGCCCTGGACGAACTTTAACGGCTCGGTAAAGTTGGTCCAAGTGAGCACTGAAAAACGCGTTTGCTTATTCCTGTTGAGTTTTAGAATGTAAATGAACAGTCGAGTTGAGCCATCGTCTGCAGTGCCCAATCCACGTGTGCCTGAAGGCGTCGCCCCCGCACCTTTCAAGACGCTACCATCAAATTTCGATTTAAAGCTTTCGTGACTGCAGGGATTCATCATCTTGGTTCTTTCGGTAAAGTCACGTAGAAGGGAAATAATAAAGCAATAAAAATGAAACATAATAAAATAATTCTCACGACGTTTCGGCCACAACGCAAGCAACCGTCCTGAGGACAGCTGCTTGCGTTGTGGCTGAAACGTCGTGAGAATTATTTTGTTTTATCTTTATTTTATTTCCCTTCCACGTGACTTTACCGAAAGAACCAAGAAGACACTACCATCCTTCACGGTCTCGCCTTGAAATGCTCCACGAGGTGCACCTGCGTCACGAGCTCATTTGAGCGCTCCGTCTCCTCCCATCGACGTACCTCCTGGACATCCTTTATACTCTGCTGTACCCGAGCGGTGGCGCAGTGGTTAGCGCACCGCAATACGAACCCGGCGACCTGAGTTCGATTCCCGCTCACGGTTAAAAAAAAAAAACGGCGGCATAGTTGAACCGGCCTCGGGCGTCCCCTA